AAATCGGTAGAATGAGTTTGCAGGGGGCTTTACTGTCAAGATGCTCGCTTAGGGTATGGATCGTGAAAGTGAGCGCAGAGTCGCAGCCACGCCCCAGCCTGAATTTATATCGATGAGGGGAAATGAGGTTGTGCTATACTGCAAGTGCTTGGAGAGCTGCTTGGAAAGAGCTCGCTCTATTGTGTGACAGACGACAGAAGTAGTTCAGATTGGCGATAGCCAGACACATTGCCAGAGTGGGCCCCATGCACCATTGAAGGGAGGAGTGACGTACGCTAGTTTCCAGGAGACGGGATGGCAGCTGAACATAAGAGGGGGGATCGGTGTCCGAGTGGTCTAGCGCACACCAGCTCGGAGCACGGGGAGCGAAAGCTCGTGCTGCAGAACCCAGGGATCCTGGGTTCAAGCCCCACCCCTGCCCGTTTCGATCTGGATGAGCATCGTACCGGCGTGCGGTCGTGTATCACTACTGCGTGGTGCACATTAAAGACCCCAGGCTAGCAGTTGTACCGCACTGGCTAAATTTCTCATCTATAGCTGGGAGACTCGTCGCCCCTGTGAGGCAGACCAAGTTCTAGGCTGTATAAACATACACACAACCCAATTTTTTTTTTTTTTTTTTTTTGAACATGAAAAATAGGTTGAACATCTTTGCAAGAACTGGGGTGATTTGGAACGCTGATGCCTTGAGCACACCCATCTCTGTTATCACGAGTATGCAGCCTCCGACAGATGTGCAAGGGGTGCGGCACCTGTCGGGCATGTTGAGGCATATCGGACGTTTCCTGCCCAGCCTGTGAACTGTCATGGCGCCGATCCAGCTTCTGTTGAGAAAGGACGCAATCTGGACCTGGGGGCTTCTCAGGCTGCCGCCTTCGACTCCCTGAAGCGGATGGCGAGCAGGGTTTCCGATTGGCCACAGGTTTGAGACTTCAATGTGCGTGACGCTGCCCAGCAATGGAGCCAGCAGTCTGATTTCAACACCTGTCATGCTGCACAGGCTCTTTAACCGCTCCGAGAGGGGGAGAAAGTCTGTACTCGGTGACAGGGCAAGAACGAAGCGGAAGCTCCTCCCACCTCTCCCCACTTCGCAACGCAGAGCACTATCCCCTCCGAGCCCTATCTCCTTGCTCTCGGAACTAAATTATGATGATCCGACATCACCTTACAACTAGCTCGTGCCATTTTCATCAACAAAATTGACCACAGAAGCCCTCAAATTGCGAGACTTCAAATGTTTCCCAGGAGGTGCGCCGCATGAATAAGGCTCTTCATTTTTTACGCATTTGATTATAAAAAAAAAAAAAAAAAAATTGTGGGAAAACAAAACAAAAACAAACTGCGGTGCAATTTAATAATAATGATATTGAAAGAAACCTGGAAATTCAGTCGTTATAACCTAATATTGTCGTACCTGAACTAGAAACTGATCATTTCCAGTCTAGAAACTCTAGAAACTGATTGTTACAAGCAGTACATAGTTATACATGGTATCGTTATAACTGGATTGGACTGTATACAGAAACTAAAACTAGTGTTTCTAACCTAACCACCAGATAGATGCATTGCCAACATGCGCAAACTGCCCAGACTTTGACGGTACACAAGCAGAGAACATGACAACCAAAGCCGAAGCCAAAACAAGCCTTACCGATGTGCAGTTGTGGATGTTCAGAGCTTCTTTGACAGGTCATCGCTGTCAGAACTGAAATTCAATAATCTAACATCACCTCCCGACTCACTTGTGCTATTATCAGCAACAAGATCAACCGCAGACTCCCTCAAATTGCAGTACAGTCGCCGACCGATTTTTTAGACTTTGCAGGGGCCGAAAAAATGTCCGAACAACGGTGCAGTCCGAAAATTCGTCATTTTAGAAAGTTTGCCTTTATTATGTTTAGGCGTGCTTAAAAAAGTTGTGAATAGTGCCTTGCTCCAGGTTATGCCTCCGCTTGCATTCGGCACTTTCTGTTAGCTTGAGAATCCCTGCCTTTTCTAACGCTGTGGTCAAGTAGTTTCCGCACTTCTTAGCAACACTTTGTGGCAGCAGAAGAGCAGATGGTGCCGTGACGTCCAGGCCAGCGTAGTCCAAAAACATGGTTCACCGAGACAAGGTGAGGGGTGCAACTTCACGATTCCAGAATGGAGAATCCTCATACAATGCCCGAAAGGGCGCTTTGAGGTAAATTAAATAAAAAAAAAAAAAAAAGTAAAATGGCAGCAATGATGATGATAATGACGCGCAGCTAGAGAAGAAAAAAAGCCGTAGCATGGCTTCACCTAGGAGTAGGACCAAGCCAATTCATGTGGAGCCATCATAGAATCTATAATGGCGGCTTCTCGGTGGTTTCCCGCTGATTTCTCTCGACAATTTTGTCCGAAAAATCGAACTTTTATTCTTCATGCTGTCTCAAACATTGATCGCGAATATGCACTATTTCTGTTTGGTAGGTCACGGTCCTTCCTTTAGGTCCCAAATATTGAACAAGCCCAGTTATCGGCGTTTGAAAGATTGGTCGGCGGCTGTACTTCAAACGCTTCCGAGGAGGCGCGCCACACGATGAAGATACCATGTTCGCGGCACAAAGCGTTCTTCGTCGGCTGCGTGTTTGGTTATAATAAACCGCTCTCTCGTGGGAAAAAAGAACTCTACAGAAACTGCAACTGAGTGTCTTTCTAGCCGCCAGGTGCTGTATCTTGTCCAGAAACGTATCGGAGGCTTTGCAACGAGGCTTGCAAATCGTCGATCAGCGTTGATGGATTTTGACGGCATGGTACGGAAAGCTTCTGTTGAAGCACAGATTTGTCAGAGGAAAAGCTACTCTATGATTGAAACCACAAAAAAGGTGTGAAGCAATTTGAAAAAGTATAATAATGTGGTAGCGTTTATTGCTTTCGTGTGTGCAGTCGTCTTTCGTTCTAAGGTCATGGTTTGGCTTGAACTGGGCTGGACTAAGCACGGTGTGGTTCCCGCCGTGCTCTTTCATTCGGTTTGTTTGCTCGTTGCATCCATTTTCCCCCTTGCGTAAGAGGGAACGAGTCTTCTCGTACGCTTGCAAGGACGCGTCGCGGGAGGAGAGGAAGGGATAGAGCGGCCGTGACACAACGTAAGCGACAACGTAAAACCGAGGGACAGCGACGACGCCATTCGTGCGATCGAGGGAAGCCTTGGGGACTGCATACGGGAGATCAGACTGGCTGTCCGAAGGCAACAGTATGCAGATCGTTGCAAGGTTGGAATTCCTATCCCTGCCGAGTCTGAGCCCCCGTGCTAAATGCACACGCATTTTGTTGAGAATGGGCATAACAGCAGCAACAATTTCGGCATCATTTTTTTTTATTTTTGTGACGGGCAGTTGTAGCTTTAAAGGTGCGGTCTGCTCCACAGACTAAATTTGTTCCACCTGGGCTCATAAAAGACGTCAAATTTTGTGCAAGGATAATAAGACAAGTTAGTGAGAGAACAATTATTTTCAGCAAATCTGTAGCTAAGTTGAAATGCGCACGAGGAGATGACGGCCGTCTGCTGATGTTCTCGTCGTTGCACATTGCAACTGCAATCATTGTCATTTGCAGCTCTCTTCACATGTCTATAACAATTAATTTGACAGGAAGTTCGGAAATAAAAGAAGGAACATATTGCCGTACAAAGTCCTCCTGATTGATGGTGTGCATTCCCGACAGTCAGCGTGAGCACATCGGCAGTTTTGCATTTTTCTGAGACAAGCAATAATGAATACCGTATCAATTTTATAAGCTAGGTCGTTGCCCAAGATTACTATGCATTCCACTATGCTGGCAGTTGAATGAGAAAACTGGGAAGTACCGGCGATCGCTTCTTAGTGCCAGAACTTTGTCACTCTCTGTATAGTATGAACAGTGCTTTTCATAATTCACATGTCGCTATAACAATGGGAGAGATTTAAAAAGTCTGCTTATATCCTTGATATCGCGCCCTGACAACGAAGCTTTTTGGCCAGTGGCATTATATGGGAGTATACACCTTTTCCACTAAAGCACAACCTTCTTGAATGTCGTCACTTCTGAGATGCGGTAAAACATTGTTTTGATCTCTTCACGCTGCTGGAAGGTCTTTACAAAAAATGTGTGATTGTCACATATTCTTGTTTTGCCTCACCTATTTTTTTCTCGCATATTACAGGTTGAAACGTTTTATTATTTTTTCATCCCGCATACCAGATTCGAAACCCACATGACTGAGAATGACGGGAAACAAAATGTCTATACTAGTTGGATTGTGCTAGTGCCTTTAAGCTTCAGCAAAGTAAAACTAACTTCCATATCAATATTATTGTAACCTTCATTGCAACCTGTTTTGAGTGTAGTGCAGAGGCTCACAAACCTTTCATTCTTGAAAAATTCTCGACTTATATTAACAGCAAAACTCAAACTAGAAAAATGCTGTACTAGGTGTACGGTCGTGCGAGAAAATTTGGAGACCTGGGGAACTCTTGGGGATAAATTGGGGAATCGCTTGCTCCTGGAAACCTGTTTTGCGAAACACTGATGATCAACATGCTAGAAATATTAAGAAATTTTGTAGGCAGGCTAGATATTGACGTCACGAAAGGTAACCAAACGAAGGCACCACCGAAACATCTCACCGCTAATACAGTCAATTGCCTTGGACAAACTGAACCCAGGTTGTTGGTATGGGCATCAGGGCATAAAGAAACAAACCTGCAAATGTAGAATTTGTAACACTTTCAGGGGCAGCATAAGATTTTCTGCTCTCATGCAAAAGTAAATGACACATTAACTTTTTTTTCCAGAAGTGCATTTTTTGTTGTATATTTTAGAATGGTGACATAGGTCTTCTCTGTCATTTGAAAACTTTGAAAAGGGAATTTTGTGGTGTGAAAGGCCCCTTCATGGAGCAAGTGGTGCTAATGCCACATCCCAACAAACAAAAATGTGAGGAGCAGTCTTGGTTTAAAACCTGAATTTAACTAATCACAGCGTCCTCTTCTTTTTAACAGCCACCATCTTTGCAAGGCTCAGGAAGCAGATACGGGAGCTGGAAGACCTGAACGCCAACTATGCCCGGCTTCTGACGACGGCCGGTATTCCTCTTAACGGCACTCCCGAAGAGATCTGGGACCACAAGCCCAAAAAGTATTCTCTGAAGCACTCACCGGAGAAGCAACGTGCCTTAGTTACCTGCACAGAGGTGAAGACTGCGCTTCAGTCCTGCCAGCACCACAACACTCCGCCGCCACCATCATCACGAGCAGACATCACGGAGCAGCAGACGCAGCGGCAAAGTAATGTATCAGCTACCCAACTTGGCCTCATGCGCGACAGTGCACCCGGCTGCACACTGGTAACACAAGCACTTCCTTCGGCTCCCGTCATGTCCACCGCACAGCCTTCGGCTGTGACGGTGTTCCAGCAGCAACCGTTGGCGGCCATGACTCCGTCGGCCGCGGCAGCCGGCGTCATGTCTCAGCCGATTCTTGTCATCAACGACCAGGGAGTGCCCGTGCTGCAGAACGTTGTCACCTTTCAGAATACCTCCATCATCCTTAACCCACAGGGGCACACCATGGCACGCGCTCCCGGCTCAGTGGTCTCTTTCCCCGGGTCAGAAATGTTGGGCGGAGCGCACGTTCAGCTGGCAACAGCGGGGCAAGGGATGGAGGACTTCGTGGCACACCACCAGCATGCTCCCACAGCCTTGGGAGGCCTGGTGCAATGCGACCCTAAGCTGAAGGAGACCAAGCTGTGTGGTGTCCCGCCCATGCAGAATGCGACATTCCTCTCGGGTACCGGCATGATGATGAACCAGCCCATTCTGTCCTACGGAGGAGGGGCGGCCATGATCGCAGGTCAGAACACGGCACCCTCTCAAGTACCGTCTGCATTTCTCCTCCCCTCTGGGCAAATTATTCCTGTTGTGTCTCAGCCGCAGGTTGTAGGGGCACCTATGCCGCCGCATCTTATGAATGGTCAGGTGATGCCCAATGTTGCATGCACAAACTCTTGCAGTTCTTTGGCTGCTCGCGGAAAGACGATCGTGTGCGAGACTAGCCGGAGTGTTGTCTGCAGGGAGCAAGCATCTGTCACTCAAGCCGTACAGAACAAGACCTCTTCCGTCACTGTTCCCGCATGCAACACCACTACGGCTAGCGCATCGTCCCAGCAGAGCTGCTGCAAGAAGCAGCAAAATGTTTGCCCTCAGCACTCGTCATCATCTTCGTCAAAGGGCAAGACTCTGCCAGACAGTTCTAAAGGGAAAGCGACCTGTATCCACTCGGCGTCTAAACAGGCCCTTTGCACGATTAGGCCCAAGCCGACATCCCAGATGCCAGACTCTAGTCAGACCAAGCCATCGTGTCCACGCAAAGGGAGCAAGAAGGCTGCAAGACCGTGCCTCGAGGTGGCTGCAAAGAAGGCACGCATAGAAGTTGCAAGGTCAGACGAGGAAAATGTTGCGAGCACTACTTCCTGCTCCTCTGCCGTCGCCACAGCCCCCAGTCAGGGACTGGAAAGTGTGAGCAGTACCAGCAATAAAGGAACACCGCCCCTTGCAACAGACATCCTGGCACAGGCAACAGAGTCTATCTTCTCGAGCGCCCTTGCAGAGTTGCCCCCTCAAGATATTTCTGTCAGCCGATCGAACAGCAACAGTGCCTCCACTCTTGAGTCAGCAACTTTAGCCCTTCAGACTTCGGTATCTACAGGAGTCACGGAGAGGAGGGACACGCTCGTGACGGTTGTCACTGCGGCTTCGTCGGACACAGGCTCTGGCCAGTTGCCAGACAGCCGTCGTTCTGAAGCATCTATTGCGGTGGAAGCAGTGTGCAGCAATGAAGCTCTTCAAACGACTGTTGACAAGGATTCTAAGACAGAGGAAACCTTTCAAAGCAGCATGTCCTCTGTCCAGATGGATGCAGAAACTTCATCGCCTGGCCAGGCAACCAGCAACGTGCAGGGGACTTCAGCCAAGGAGGCAGAAGACTCTATTGAAACAACAGATCGCAATGAGTTATCGAGTCTGAGTTTACACTCCATTGTCATGGAGGAGAACATTGACATATCTCCAAGTGTTAGTTCAACAACGTTTACTGAAAGCTATGTCTCTGTTGCTGCAAATAATGGCAGTAACACTATGCCAGATAATGCAAACAAGATGCCCGACTGTGCAGCCTCAATTCTCTGCCAGTTGACTCCACCAAGCAGCAAGGGCAGTGAGGACAATAGCAAAGCATTTGTTTCAAGTACAGACAGCTTGACGTCTGATCAAGAGTTGCCACTTATCCTGAGTATTCCAGAGGATGACGGGCATGGTTCACTTAACAGCAACTCAAACCCTGGACTTTCGTTCCCCTCTCTTTCTCCGGGTGATCAGCTGGAACAGGAATTGGGAAATAATGGAACGAACAAGAATGTAGAGAGCTCCAGCAGCCTTCCTTCATTTTCCATAACTCCTCTCGTACCATCACTGTCAGTGAGCACCGCACAGGCATCAGTCAGTTCTAGTCTGAGCAAAAAAAAAGATTCCACAGAGAGTGTAAACGCTTACGCCTACGTCACGTCAGATGCATATCCGGGCCCGCGGTCAGGAGACCTGCATGCCATGGGAAACAGTGGCAGCAAGCAAGACTGCCACCATGCCTCCCGTTCGCCGCAACTGCAGAATTTATCTTCGGCAAAGTTGCTCACGGAGACATCGTGCCACAGTTTTGTTTCAAGTGCACCGCCCACATTCACAATGCAGTCCAGGAGTCTACAGTTCCCTCCCACACAAGTTCAGAACTCGCACACTGTGCTGCCCGGGTTTTCCTCTGCTCAGGGATTTGCCGCTCCCAAGGAGCCCGATCCTCTTCCTCCGCCAATCGGCAGTGGCAAACCACCGCCTTCCCCTTGCAGAATGGCCCGCGATTCGGGACGCTCCGCAACGCCCAACAAGAGTCTGCCGAGCCAGTTTCCGACGTCCATCAATTCGTACATGGCGACGACCTGCTTCCCTCGACCTGACCAGTACATGGCCGGAGCCCGGAGCTTCAGCACCAGCGGCGGCGTGCTGGGCAGCCACAGCACCTCCCTGTCGTGCTATTCGGCCGAAGCCCTGATCGGAACGCAGAACTTCCTCCCGTCCTCGTACCGCATGGCCCCTCCCTGCACCCAGCTACCAACCACTCAGATGACGTCGTGCCGCCAGTCATCCCGCCCTCAGATATCCTACTCGGCTGAGAGCCTGATCCAGTCGCAGGCAAGCAACTCCAAAAAGGATGCCCTGGGAGGCTCTAAGGAGGCGGCCAGTTTTACTAACCATCCCGGCTTTGGGAATCGGCTACCCTACACCCAGCCCCAGATGAGCGGCCAGCTGCAGAGCAGTAACCACCCACACCAAAGGCAGGTGCCAGCCAGCACGACGCAGCAGAGCCATCAGCTGAATCCCAGCATATCGATTGCCGACAACCGAACCCACACTCTGCAAGCGTCGGGCGGACCCGCGGCCGTGAACAGTAGCTACCACGTGCAGCAAAACCTGGCCGGCAGCCCAGCCAGGTACCCGCTCCATTCCTACCATCACGGCAAAGATGACTTCCCCAGTCTCCATACAACCTCGTCGTTGCATGCTGCACCTTCCACTTCGCATTCTACCACGCACGGCCATCACCTGCAGCCGGACGCCAGTGCAAGCCAGAACGTCTTTCAGCACCAAAACTACCCGTACCCCAACTTTACACTTGGACACAGGAGTCCTAGTTTCAGCGCCTGCTCGTCCCGTCCCGAAGTTCCGCCCCTGAGTCGCGCTCCCTCGAGCTGCCTGCAGTCATCGTCCCCGAGGCAGGCTCACTTCGGGATGCAGGGGCCCCTGCCCACCTCGCAGCAGCAGGGGTGCCTGTTTCCGAGTTCTTCAGGAGCTCCGATCCTGCCTCCTCTTGCCTCGGAGTTTGGGTCCCAATGCTCGGGGCCTCTGGCCCCTCCCCCGCCCGTCTTTGGCAACCTCTCGCAGCACTGTGCTCAGGCGCCCCATCTCGTGAATAACCTGATACCCGGCCCATTTGCAACGACGAGCACCTCGATCTGCAATGCTCCGCTGTCCCTGCCCACGGCCGACGCCGAAAAACAGCCGCGCAGAGAAAAGTCGTCGATGCTCCCGACTCCGGAACCGCATTGCTCCGATACCACCGAAAAGCAGAATCCCAAGTCTAAATCAAAAAAGAACAAAGCCTCCAGTTCCTCGCACAATTCCGTCACCACCATCCCTTACTTTCCGGATTTCATGAGAACCGAATCTCAGAATCACGCGTTGCTGCAGCTGCCACCACCTCCGGCCGGAGTTGCCGCGGTGCCCGTGACCACACAAAAGCTACCTCACTCCTCGTCATCTTGGCAGCATCAGCAGCATCATAAAGCGGTCCGCAGCAACGCGGAACCAGAGTGCAGCACCAACTCGAGCAGCATGGCGTACAATCCCCTCTTCAGGCCACAGTCTCAAAACAGCATCAACCTCAACCTGAATGCTCCCGGGCCGCCTCCCCCTTCGGCCCCTCACTCATTGGCACCTCCTTCCTTCTCGCATCATCACAGCCCACTGCAGAGGAGCAGTCAGCAGAGCTCGTCCTCGTCGATCCCCAACCCCACCTCGACGACCACGTCGGCCGTGCAGGGTCACTACGCGAACTGTGCAGTTACGCCGTCGCATCACGTGCCCAACTTCAACCTGAGCAACATTTTTCCAGACATCGGTGCCGGTTCGGCCGAACAGAGTCGGGGGTCGTCCGCGCACTTTTACCCACCAAGTCGCATGCTTCACAACTCATTCAACCACATCCTGCCTCCTCCTCCTCCGCCAGCTCCGCACAACAACTTTGTACCGTCGGGTCACCACTCGCACGCGCCGTCTTTCTCTAACGTCATACCGCCGCTCACCTTCCCGATGCACGAGCACTGAGCATCCTGAATTCTGATTGCTCTTGCTGTTTTTTTTGTTTTTTTAACTTCAAAGTATTCTGGGGAGTGGGCACAAGCCATAGTTTACTTCTTCAGGCTGGTACTACAGATTGCTTTGATATCTTTTGTATATTTCTCGTTTGTGCCTCATTGATATAGCAAACTGAACGAGCACAATTTATAGATGAGCATGGGACTTACCTACCTCTAGTTTTCTTCATCTCACATGTGTCATACTATTTCTTCAATAATTAACTTTTCTCGGCTGAAATCATCGATCAGCCGTTTTTCAGTGTTTCAGTGATAACTGTTTTGTGAGACCTGGATGCCTTTGCACTCCAAACTAAATTGATTCAATGTACTGTGGGTTGTTGAGCATTTGGGTATCGGGGGTTCAAAAGCTCACATTCTCTACAAGGGTTGACTGAAAAGTTGGCCTGTTTGCTCAGCAGTCTGGGAAGAAAGAACATACTAACAATCAAACAGTGAACCTTCTTTGAGAGGGAATACCATTTTAGTGTAATTGTTTCCTTGTAGAGTGTGTGCCTCGTGTGTGAGACAAGTGTTCTCATTTCGAGAACCAAAGGCTTTAAGCTTTTGATTTGTGTGCATTTAATCAGGGAGAAAACATGGTTTTATTAAGTGGATTCTAAATACAGACATCTTCCTTTTTAAAGGTGAAGAAAATATGCAATCTTTAGGTTGCCTTGACCTTCTTATATTGATGATATCAGAATGCAAACATGTGTGAACAAAACTGCACCTTACAGTATTTTAGGGCCCACGTAGAGCCCATTTCCTTCAGAGATACATACAGGAAAAAAAAAGTATTTCCATGCATAGCACTGGTGAGGCAATTTAATTCTACCCCACAAATGTCTAGCCATAGACTTTTTTGAGAAGCACCATAGAAAGTATATGGGTTCTTAACCATTTGTCTACACACTTCTGTTAGAACTACTCATACTTCTCTGATGTCAAATGCAAGATTCCGAAAGTTTTTTATAACTGGTCAAAACTGAAATGGTATTGAAAGGTTAGGTGAAAGACAAACATCTGGGATTTTTGTTTAACATCAAGAAAATCTGCCTTTACCTTGAGGAACAGTGTGTTGCAGGATGAAACCATTATAGAACAGCGTAGCAGTTATGAACTTGCACATTTCTGGTTTGTCCTTACTAGAGCTCTGCTTTTCTCTCGTTGTGCTTTTCTCCCGTTGCTTAGCTTGCCTACACGTTATACTTGTCAGCTGATTTTATTTTTATACACAATAATACCTTTTTTTGGTATGGAAGGAAACTGGAACCATTGATTCCATGGCATACAAAAGTATGTGAGAGCTTGATACAGGGGTAGCTTTGAATGGTGACTTTATTAAACAGTCAGTTTGTTTTTAAACATCTTTTGCTGACTCAACATTTTACAATTTAATTCAGATCATTCAGGGGGCATACAATGACAGGATAATTGTGCGACTTGTATCTGTAGCATGCTGTGGCAGCTTTTTCACTGCACCAGAGGCAGCAAACTAATGAGTTGACTCCTCCGATATTATCCTCACTGTCTACTGCTTTTGTTCTGGCAAAATAGTTGCCACAGGCATGTTGCATGTGCTTGACATTTGCCTCTGAAATATACTTTTGTGGAACATGCTAAATATGTGTGACAGATATCCTTATAAAAGGTTAGGGTGCAAATGAGCGGGTGAAGGTTTAACATAATTTAAAACTAACCCCCGAGACTGGGGAAAAGACGAAGGAGAACAACACGCAGACACTCTGTGTGTTGTGTTGTCCTTCATATTTTCCTTAGTCTCGGGGGGGGGGGGGGGGGGGGGGGGGGGGGGGGGGGTCAGGGGTCAATCGGGTCTTAAAGCAAAACTTAAAAAAAAAAAAAAGATATCCTTGCTTTTTTTTTTGCAGTAGCATGAAAACTCCGATCTTTTGTTAAATTATCCAGACACCAAGGAGAATGCTTGCAATGTAGGTACGTGAACTGGATGTGCTCAACTTATCAATACAATATATTTTTAAAAAAACCTCAATATGGGCGGTTCATGATTGCACATGCAAAGTGCTACATTCACGTTTTTGCTTTAGAACAGTTGCTGCTGCAGATGTCGGCATGTGCGCTGCATATAACTATGCTGACAGCATACTCCCCGGTACCCGAGTAATTTCGCAAAAGGCCTACGAGAGGTAACATACCCATGTATATTACATTGCTTTTGTGTGCAGGAACTTAAGTCATTGATAGCATCTGTCTATATCTTGGAGGAGTGTTGTATCATTTTATGTTAAAATTGTGATGTGTAGTAGATGATGGCTTTTTTTTTTTTACGAAAAAGAAATAACTGACTATTAATGCTTTTTTTGTTATCACACGGCTGCCTAACAAAACAGTAATTCAGTGGCTACAAAAGCAACATGCTTTTTTTCTGTCCCAGTTTTTTTTTTTTTTTTCTTTGTGCGGCACATGGTTTTGAAGGATGCAAGATGGTGCACTGTGGATATTTCTGTTTATAAATATTGGTGTATGCAATTTTGTGGAACATTGCATTGTTTAGCCAATGTGTTTGTAAGATAAATGTGTGGAATGTGAGCAATGTTTTGAATGAGTGCAAGTGTACTTTTCTCACATGCATTTGTTGAAGTACTGACGAATTAACCGGTGAATATTCACGCCATACATATAAGCTTCTTTTCCAAACTTGAGACGATAATAACATTGAGGATGTGCTGAAATTCTGTGGCATGGCAAAAATGTGTTACTTTTTTTTAGAGGGGGTGGGGGGGGGGGGGGGGGGGGTTCGGTAGCTTAACAGGTAACTTTGGAATCTGGGGCAACCCTCAAAGTCAGGATTCAGTTAAATTTTGCAAACACTTGATAGATCCTCAGTATCTAGTCATCATACCTGATTGACTGCTCACTTCTTGTGTTATCTGCTTGAGCTAAATGGTCGGTTGCACCTGATGTGTTGCTCGCCACAAATCCCTGACATAGCTAGTTGGGACTGCTTCACTGTGCTCATCTAACCTCTGGAAATAGATTCTGCTTCAGCTTTCCTAAAGCTCCTGTTATCTCAATGTGAAGTCTTACTTGTCAAACTAAATTAATGGTGCAAATCACAGTTGTACAATAAAAAGCCTGTAAATGTCATCGCTCGATCACGCTCATTGATGGTACATGTTGTTTTCACATGGTGCTGACATTGTCACAATGTGTAGAGTTGATGCACCAAAGCGTGTAGATCTCCAATCGTGTTTTAAGGCATCTGACTTGAGACATACTGCTTCATTATGAAAAGTATGAGTTGTGTGTGTATACTTCTATGTATTTATGTGCTCTGACTGCATTACTCTGTACTGCATGTAAATGAGCTTATTGTACTCACATTTTTACTCTTGGAAGAAACACTGTAAATACGTTTTAAAAGATACCACCCGAGCAGCTTTCTTTGTCCATTAAATTTCTGATCAGCAAGCGGTATCATGTGTCGATGGCTCCATACATTCCAACTTCCTGGATGAAAAAGTAAACCCTTTTTTGGAACGGCTGTTTTTGTGTTATCATGACTGTGCTCCTGTTTACACTGTTACATGATGCACTATTGTTGATTGCTGTTTCTTATGTAGTGACATTTTGCAATAAATTAATTCCCGTGACACTGTACAAATGCTGATGGAAATTACCGGCGCAATGTAAATCTGAATGTACAGTCAAATCAGCAAAAGCGAATTAGGGGTGTTTGTGAATGTTGGCTGATTATTTTAGCAAAGACAATAAAGGTCTCTGTACACTGACGGCATCTTACTATTTTATTTCTCAATTGTTTAGTACAGGTGGCATGCGTTCTGTATAGTATCTGCAATTCATTTCCACGTTTTATGACGCCATTTTATTTATTCGCTTGTTTGACACGACTAAGGGCATTTAATTCAAAACTTCTATTGAACACCATTTCATTTAATAAGTGGACGTTTAATTATACTTTGTCTTACGAAACCCTTTGACGCCGGATGCCAAACTTAGGAAGATTACAGTTGTACTAACTCTAAATCCTTGCTGCTCTTAAAATATATATTCTGAAAGTTATTTAAATTTTTTTGAAGCTGCTATCGAGTCAACAACAACAAAAAGAAATTGGTACTTGTCACTTGTTTATTTTTAATTTAAAAAATACTGCAAATTTTTTACCATTCGAGCAGGAGAGGATGACATTGTGTCTAAAGGCGCATTCACACCGGCGATGTAAAACAGCCGCGCTATCCGACCAAATCGCGTCGCAAAAAGAAGAAGAAAAAAAAAAAGAGATGGTCACACAGGCGCTTGCGACGAGCGAGGGGCTCATAAAGGCCTCTCGAAAGCTAGGAGTTTGCTGCGAACCTCCAAAGAGAGCGGTCGTCCTCCGGACCCCGCGAACCCCGGAGAACGGAACGCGATCCTGGCTTTGCGCGAAACATATGTACGACGAAACCTTCCGATCCGACGTGCGGACTGCCGCAATGACCTTGGGGAGAGAGGGTTTTCGTAGCATCGGAGAGCGTTGAAAACCCTCGCCTCCGACCGTCGTATTGCGCGGTCGGACGTCGGATCGGACGGTTTCGTCGTACATGTGTTTCGCACCGCCCCGCACCGTCGGCCCGCCGCTGCACGTCCGCCGAGAATAAAAGAAGAAGGTCGGAGCCAGCGGAAAAGTCCCACATGGGCCCCCGCGAGTTTTTCTCTCAGTAACCCGGTCCATCTCATAGGTCTCTTTTGAGATAGGATAAATCAACGCCTCTCACCGTTCCGGTCCTGCTAATACCATCATCGACCAAGTGAGCGGCCCAGAAACCTACTTTTTGGACGTTCTTCATCTCCGAGTGTGGCCTCGCCGCACTAAGCCCACCGAAGCTTGGAGCTCTTGGAAGGAGAGCCACCTCCGCGCCGGCAGCGCTCCATTTTCGCAGCGCCGCAGGGAGCGTCCCGGCCTGAACTACAACCACGATGGCTTCGTCAACGCCAGAAACCTCCCTAACTGACATGGAAACTACCACGGCAGGAGATGGTGACATTCACTTGACGTCACTCGCTAGGTACGCTAGCATCGGCCACCACGGTCGCCATCTTCGAGGTCTTGTTTTATCTCGCGTAGGGGTCGGGTGCCGTCTGGCCGGACCTTTCAACATGGGTTAGCAGCATTTTACAACTTTAAAGGGTCTTTTTGGCCGAAACTGCGGGTTATTCTTAGACTTTGGTGCTTTTGAAGCGCCGTAGGAATATTTTTTTCTGTCTGTTTCAGTTCGTTTCTGTCGCTAACGGACTTTTCCACCGCGGCCGTGTTGCTCCATCGGCTCCATGCAGTGCTCCGTGTCGCGCGCCGTGCCCTCCGCTGTAAATCTTTTGCAAGAACTGTGATCTTTCTACTTTGGGGCTTTTGTAGCACGGTGTGATTACTCTTTGTTTTGTTTTGCTAGTTTCCTTATTGTTTTTTTCTGTAGCGGATTTTCTGCACTACTGCCGTGTAACCGTGTTGCTCCATCGCCTCCGTGTCGTACGTCGTGCCTTCGGTGTTCGTTCCTGTGCAGAAACATACCGTGCGGCTCACCGAGTGCGCAGCTAATGGAAAAAGTGCTGCATTTTTCATTAGCCCGAACGATTTGAAAACCGCATGCAACCGATTTGGCGAGCGACGAGACAAGCGACGGCGACCCGCTTCGCTGTCGTTCGGTGACTCGCGCGACGAGGCAAGCCGCATGAAAGCGACGGAAGCAAACGACCAAGGCGATGAGCGCTAAGTTTTCTAGAAATCCAAAAACCGAGCTACGCGACGAGCGACAGTGAAGGGTGAACCGCATGTAAGCGACCGACGGCGACAGCGACGGGAGTCGGCGACAAGCGACGGAGATTTCTCACGGTCGCTCGTCGCGTCGTTCGGTTTTTAGATTTGTAGAAATCGTCGTTCATCGTCTTGGTCACTTGCTCCCGTCGCTTTCATGTGGTTTGCCTCGTCGCGCGAGTGACCGAGCGGCGGCGAAGCGAGTCGTCGTCGCTTGTGTCGTCTCGTCGCTCGCTAAATTGTTTACATGCGGTTCAGCCTTTACGCGCAGTACTCGGCGACAACATATGAATTAAAACGGTCCACCCCCGAGATACACTGTTTTGTATTTTTAGTTCAACGAAGCTTCTTCATAGATATGAAATTAGCACACACTACCAACGGACGACCGCGTACCCAAGCCAGTCAAACGTCAAACCGCGCGACCTCGAAGATGGCGGATCGACGGTGGCGCTCCCTGGCAAAACCGAACCTGCAGGCCCAGTGAATACCACCTGACGGCTGGTTCACAGCCTCCTACGGCGGGCACAAGTTGAGAGCGATTCCAACCGCTGAAGTGGATCTCACCACCGGCAATCCCCTACAGCCCGGCCCACCGATACCCCGTCCACAGAAAAAACCTCACTCAGCGCCTACCCCCGCTGCCGAGGGGAGAATTCAGAGTCGTCATGCGTCCGCGAGACGGCCTCAACCTCTCCAATTGGAAACCGTACCAGGTTGCCCAACAGATCAGCACGGAGGCTAAGATCACCATCGAGGAACTACACGCTGCAACCAAACTCCAACTCAATCACGACCGCAACATCGTGATAGTAAGCACGGCCCACATAGAGGTCGTTTAAGCCTCACCCAGATCCATCACCTACGACTTGGCGGGAAGGACTACCCAGAATACTGTGCGGCTCACCGAGTGCGCAGCGAATGGAAAATGCGC